TGGAGATCATCTAGTCCAACCCTCCTGCTCAAGCAGGGTCCTCTAGAGCACGTTGCCCAGGATCACATCCAGACGGGTTTTGAATATCTTCAGGGAAGAAGACTCCACTACCTCTCTGGGCACAAAGTTCAGAAACTTTATGTGATTGCTTGGGGCAGAGCTTTACTTTTTTACTCCTCAAAGCAGTTCTGGCGTGAGCACAGGCTCGCTGAGGCTCCCTGCTGCAGACATCTGTCGCTCGCTTCTCTCCCACGGACCACAGCAGAGAGGCTCTCCGTTAAAGGTTGACAGCGGCGTGAGCGGCAGATGCCCATGAACGTTGTCCCTGCAGCGTGTGCCCTTCTGCTCTGCCTGTGCCAAATGCGACCCCGTTCCCTTTGCGAAATAACCGAGGATGAAAGACTGGAGAGACATGGAAAAAACGCAGCTCAGATGTTCTTTAAAAAGACAGCAACAACGAATTTTGGTTTCAAAGAATCAAGGGGTCTTTATCTGCTAGATATGTTATTGCATGCATATTCCTGTAATCCTGAAAGACCTTTAGGAGCTCCAGCTCACCTAACAGTAACACATCAAAGAAGTATCTGTGGGGCTTGGGGTACAAATATAGGATATACAGATGGCACAGAGTTCACGAGGGTCTGAGTCCATGCCCTGGGAGCAGATACTCTCTTGCTGAGAGACTATCTGACAGCCTCCTCCTTTTAGATGATTCCTTGCATCAAAGGTGACCTGGAAGCACCCAAACTTAAAAATGCCAAGTCCAGTATCAAGAACAGTCTCTGCTTAGGAAGCCCATACGTCAGAAAATGTTTTGCTTATCTCTGTAGATACTAAAGCATGGTTGCCCAGCACAAGGGTTTTTTTGGGCCTGGTTCTGGCTGGCATGGAGCTCTCCTGGGGAAGCATGCACACGTGCAAGCATGCATACGTGCACAGAATGGGGCACGGGAGGACCTGCAGGCAGGCCGTGGAGAACGGGCTGTTCTGCAGCGCACGTGAGGTAACGTCATCTTGGCTGGGGTTAGGATTGCGGTATGTGGCCGTTTCAGGGTGATACCAGTGGTGCTGCTGGGACTGTCGTTACAGGACTTGCTTAGAGCTGCTAATTGTCTCTTCTAAGGCTTCTGTCTCTGCAGGGTCAAATGAATTATCTTGGGTGCCTCAGCCCCTTTCCCTTTCTCCCCCGATAGGTGAGTTTTCATAATTGGCACTGAAATTTGGAAATAAAGCCTGTACCAGGGAAGCAGCCAGGAGGCGCTGGGTGTCCTGCCCTTCTGCCCAGCGGGGCAGGTGGCTGTGTCCTGCCTTGGGCAGCTGGACAGCGATGAAGGCCAGCATCTCCCACCAGCTCAGTCTAGCGGGGGAGAGCAGTCGGGTCAGTCTGCAACTAAAAGCTCAAGGAATAGATGTAAAATCAAATTGTTTTTCATCCTCGAGGGTGAAGAGTGCAGCAGAAGCCCCGGAGGGGTGCTTGGACAGAAAGCAGATGCCTGTTGTGCCAGGAATCTTCCAAACCTCTCTCCTTCGGCCAGCGCCGTTTGGGGCTTTTACATGCTGGGTCCGAGCCAGCTGTGTTGCATTCCTGTCCTCTGCTTGTCTCCTTCGGGTGCTGACACATGGGGCACTGACGTTACCTGCGCTTGATGGATGGAGAAACGGATGCTGCTGGGATATCCGCTTCTCACAGCATCTCCCTGCCACCTAATGGCAGTGGGTCTGGAGGAGTCGACCTGCCCTGTCCGTTTCTGCTGGGTCCTTTCTGCGTGCCCGCGACGCCTCCAGCTCTGTGGGGTGCAAGCGCTGAGCGATGCACCCGTGTCGCTTCAGATATTTCACCTCTGCTTGTAGCCTGCAGGAGGCTGGCCGGGCGTGCGAGCCAAATGGGTCCAGGGCCAAAAGGCCTCTGGTATGCAAAGCGATGCATTTAAATCACAGCGCATAGAAAACCAGAGAAGCTAATTTTTATGCGTAAGGGTGAGGGTAAAGGAGAGATTTGTTTAGAAACAAATTTACATAAGGGCTCCTTCAGTGCCTCATTATGGTGTGTGGGAGTTTTGGGGGGTTTTTTTGGCTTGCTTGTTGTTTTTTAAACATCAGTCTGTCCTCTTGCCTGCCCAGGCTGTGGTCCGTCCATCGGAAAGTGCGTTGTGTGCTTGAACGAGCCCCGCGCTCGAAGCTCGCTGGAAGGAAGCGAAGCAGCGCTTGCCGCTGCTTACGGAGCCACCCGCCATGCTGGCAAGTGAGAACAACGTTGCAGAAAGTGCCTGTCCCCGCGAGGGAGCAGTTTGGTACCAATCAGCAGTTGTTGACTCTTGAACAGCTTCTGCTGGTCCGGCCAGCTCTCTGAAGGCTGGGATTTTTTTCTTTCTTTCTTTCTTTTTTTTTTTTTTTTAATGGCAGCTTGCTAAGGGCCAGATATCGTTGTGACAGTACCTTTAAAATCCTGAAGCTGCTTAGATCACTCCAAGGAAGCAAGCAATAAAAGAGCTGGAATAAAATGTATCACACAGTGTCCTTCACTTCTGCTGACAACAGCAGTTTAAATTCCTGGTGCAACCTTTTAGCATAGCTAGCTTGTAAAAACTAATAAAAAATAAAATGAAGTCGTAGCAGCTACTTGCCACTGCTTCTCTGATGGGAAGGAGGGAGAAACTGCCTTTTTCTTTTTTTTTTTTCCAGTGAGCCTCGGCTAATGGGCTGTTAGTGCTACTTATATTATATTCTGATACACTAGCATTAAACTATCTTGTAATATTTACATTATGTAAGTTATATAATGTTTAGTATAGGGGAGCCTTTGCTTTGGTCCTAAAGTATAACTTATCCTGTGAGCACCCTAATATTTTTCAGAGCTTTAATTAAACTTATTTTTAATAAGACTTACGTTCTCAGGGCGTTCATTCATTTGGATGGTGCAAATTTGGGCGTCCCTTTTGGCGGTGCATGAGGAGGAGCTTTCCCTTTCTGCCTGCTCTGCGTTCTGAGGTCCTTTGCCCCAAGAGCCAAGCGTCTCGAGATTTGGAGACCCAGGATAATTCGCGATTTTGAAAGCAGTGTCACCAATAGAAGGTTTTATTTTGTAAGCTATATACTTCCAAAGCTTATAATGAAATATTTCCAATCTAACAGCCAGTTAGAGTTGTGCACAGACGCCAGGTTTGTGCAGTGCCGTCTGCTGCTGAAGCACATCTTCCGCGGGCCGTGTCACAGTCGACCCTCAGCTGAGGCTGTTGAGCAACAGCTTCGCTGGTGATTTCCGAGGAAGTCAGGACAGAGCTTTCCCAGCTGGGGAGGGGTTTCCTGGCTGGAGAGGGGTGGAAGGATCGTGGCCATCGGGTCCTGTTTCTGCAAATCTCTTGGGAGCCTTGTGCAGGTGGAAATGCGCCATATTCTGCAGCTTGCCAAGAGAGAGAAAAGCTGTCTCCATGATGTCCTTGCAACTCAGAGATGCGGTCCTGTCTGAACTTTGCTAGCTGAAGGGAAAAAAACGTACGCAACCTTGATAAGCCACTGCTGGTCTCATCCACAGTGCACAGAGACACTCTTTGCTTTGCTTTCCTCCCCGCCGAGAGTGGGTTCCTACCAATGAGGCTGGGAAGGGGGCACCCCTGACACTGCCTGTGCTGCGTGCCTGAACTGCGACTATCCAAAAGCCATCATTGGCAGGAGGCTGACGGCAGCTTGCACATGGCCCTGACTTGCCTGTTGTCCTCGAAAAAAAAAGGCAACGCGACATGCGGCCGTGGCATCAGCTGCTAAACAGTAGTCGCCGCAGCCTTGGACAAGCAAGAGGGATTTCGGCGTGTTTGCTTTCCTTTGGCGAAACTGCCGAGATTGGACGCTCATTCGCAGCAGAAGCGCCTCTGAGGTGGGGCTTAGCTAGGGAAACGCTTGGACGAAGAGTCGTCGTGCATTGCTGGGCTTGAGGCTGGCAGTGTTGGGGAGAGCGCGTGGTGTGGCCTGAGGGTCAGGCCAGGTGATTTGCGGCGATCCCTTTTGACCTGGGCGCTTAGGGAGTGAAATAGTTGATTGTTTTTGCTGGGAAACGGTGAGATGCCTGCAGCTTCAGAGCTATGGGTGGCCAGGTCTCGTAGAGGAAATTTTTTCTGTGGCGGGGGCTGAGCAAGCCGGCTTGGAGCTGATTGAGTGCAGAGCTGCTGACTCACATCTCATCCCATTTAGCTCCAAAGGATTTGAAACAACCCATCTCCTGGTTGTCTGATTTGGAGATAGTTATTAGTGGCGACATGTGCAAAGCATACCGATCGTTTTCTACTGCCGGTTCTCCCTGCCGTAGACGTTACTGCCTCTTACACAGCTAAATATCCTCGTCTCCATGTCAGATGTTGGGCCAAAGTTTGGTGCAGTGGAGGTCACTCTGCAAGGCACAGGCAGGGCTGCCGACCATGGCCACTTCTCATTTCCTTCTGTTGCATCTGGCTGCTCCCATGAGCGTATATAGCACTCTTGTATGCCACAGCATCAAACGCGGTGACAAGTACAGGAGGCTCGGAGCTCATTTAGTGGTGTGCCTGTAATGGAAGTGGCTCTGGATGGGGGATTCAAGGTCATCAAAACCTTGCTCGGGTGGTTTTGGCTGGGTTGCTTTTCAGTGCCGATGCCCGACGCTCACTCCCTTTGCGAGGCTCTGGATGTGCCTTGCAGCACCCAAGGAGCCATCCTTTGCCCTGGGCCTAATCCTGTGTTTCTTCAGTTACTCTGGAAAGGCAGCGAGACCTAAGGCACGTGGTACTTGGCAGAAGAGCCGAGTCCTCTAGCCTCCAGTCCTCCTCGGCTATCCAGACCATCAAACCCACGGGAGTAATCGGGCATAAGGCCGGCTGCTTCATGAATCTCTCGTCTGTTTGGAAACGATCTGGAAGGAGTGTTTTTAGCCAAGATGCTAATAAGCAGCTTCTTTCACGCAATGCCTCTAGGCGATGGGTAATGTGTTTCTTAAGTACATGTGGGTTTGTTTGTGTTTTTATATTAAACAGGCGAAGAACCCTTGAGATCAGCCAGAGGAGGAGGAAGAAAAGTAGTGCAGGGGCTGCTGTGTGATGCAGGACAGGCCCGAGCTGAGACGCGGCGCAGGAGGTAAAGCGTAAATGAGCGCTGCCGTGTCGGCCTGCTCTACGCTTGGTGTTAGATTAGCTCTTCCTATGCTCGTGTAACACCTTTCTGTGCATATTTTAACACCATCCACCAAAACGTCTGCGTGCACTTCCAGCACCGCTCTCCCTTCTCCCCACAATGACGTTAAAGAAACGATGAGGCCGTGAAAACATGTAAAAGTTGGGCAGCTCCAGTGCGCTATCACCCATGGAGTCGTAAGCCCCTTCCGTTTTTTGGCTGTCGGCTCTTTTATTCGATCATCCAAACTAGCCAAATTCAGGTGGCAGATCTGCAGGCTAGGAAGCAGCGTTTCACAAGATCTCCATTTCAGCCGTTTCTATTCTGTTTTAAAAGCAGTGTTGAATGTTACCAGCGGGCAGCGCTTGACTGCGCTGTATCCGGGTGCCCCAGGGTCTGAATGTCTGCGTGCAGCTCTGCTGGGTGTCGGGCTCGGAAACTATGTGCACGATCTAAATATTTTTCAAATGAGCATTTGGCCGAATGCTCAATGGGCTCAATGGCCCATGATGGAAGAAGCCATAGGTGCTCTCCAGGTTCCTCCTGGCCTTGAACTCCCCTAAGCTGTGAAAAATCTCAGTTGCGTTTCTAATGCCACGTGACCAGTTCAGGCCCCTGTTTTGACTTGCTGTCAAAAAGGTTTCTGCAGGAGCCCTGTGTCCTTGTGTGTCACATTTGGAGCATCTGCTCAGTATATACGTGGACTGAACCGATGGCAGCACACTTTGCAAGCGTGCTGGGGGTTTCCTCCTGGAAATCCATCCCTGGGCCAACCGTGCCAGATCGTGTTCAGCTTATGGGATCATGGCAATCAAGCCATAATGGCCCTCTTTAAACTTGCGCTTTTTTGAATTTGTTCTCTCCCCACCCCCAGCTGCATGTCTCTACATCTAAGGGGTTTTTTTTTCCGCCTTGTTCGAGTGAAAGAGTAAATCCTTTTTGATTTATTCCAGAGCAGCCCTCGAGCTCAGCTCCTGTGAGAGCCTGCTGACTTTGAGTTCAAAAGATCTCGCTTCTTTGAGGCTGGACTGTGGTCTTCCATCTTGCCTCAAAGTTAAACTGAATAAGAAAAATCTTTTTTTCCTTTAAAAAGGGAGAAAGAGAAAAAAACAAGCATGCTGTGTAAGGGAATCAGCCTTACCTGCAGCAGAGGAGAATGCCAGTGTGCAGAATTTCAGGTTAAAATCTGGTTGTTTAGCGAAGGCTGTATTTTAAAGCACCTAGCATGTTGTTTAGTAAGTGTTTCATACAGATAAATACTTCCTTTTAAAGCAATGCTGTTGGCTGGCTGAGATCCAGCCTGTGATCTTACGTTAAAGCATTTCCAGTGTTTAAACCACTACATTGCAGTGGTGGTTGGAAATGGTAGTTCTGATCCCTAATTTCCTGCAGATTTGCTGATAACAAGGTCTGGTTGAGGCTGAGCTTTGCACGCACCAACTACTGAGTTTGGTTTTTACGTCAGCTCTGAATTTCACCGCAGGCAGGAGCGCTGGTCGCTGCTGTAATTGCCTTGTTGCCTAGCTGGTGTTTTCAGGAACAAACCAGGGAAGAAAACACTCAAGGATAGGCCAAGGACATCTCAGTTCGACACTAACATCTGCGTCTGTCTCTGCATTTTGTCCTTCCTGCTGCGTGACCCCAGGCCTTCAGAGGTGGAAGCTAAGCTACTCAGAGGTGGGCCCTAGCGCACATGCCCAGCAAAGTGAGGAAGGCTTGTCTTTAATGTGCTTTTCTAATATTTGCCTTCTAATATCATTGTGTGGAGCAGCGTTAAATATGACTAACAGTTGTTCATATCAAATGACCATCTTCGCCTGCCAGAAGGATTGAGTGTGGTCGGTACCTTAAAATGCTGGTTATGCCATATGCTACAGGAATGAAAGCGAAGTGTTAGGTGCTATCCTGAAGATGAGCTGTGCACCCAGAGGAGGTGCAGACAGCTGGCTGTCATATACATATATGTGTGTGTGTGCGTGTGTACGTATATGTATATATATATGTATATATATTCACATGCGTATATATGTGTATGTGTATATATACACACATATACATGTGTAGGGTTTATAGATACATAAATAGAGCAAATCTAATATGTCAGAGCCATTAAATGCTAGTTGTCTTCCATAGGCTGTGCTTAGCTATTGAAGTTAGTCCAAGTTTATACGGTTGTTGCTACGGCTATGTGTTTGGAAGGGTAGAGGTAACAGATTCAAGACTTCCTTTTAATTCAAGACTCCCTTTAAAAGCAGCTCTTCTTGAGCAGCGTGACCTTGACTTTGCTTCTGACTTGGGAAAGCAGCAATGCAGGGGCAGGGAGATGCTGATCGGTGCAGAGAAGGCTTGCTCAGAGGACAGCAGAGGATAAAACACAGGTGGGGTTGATCTGGAGTTTTAACGACAAAAGGGGTTGTCCAGGTTACCTGCTAATCTGTGTGTGCTCTCCCTAACTTGTATATGCTTAGTGTGTTCCTGAAAGGTAGGTATCTGTTTTTTCAAAAAGCTCCAGTATTGGTACGGAGAGAAAAACGGCTTTCTTGCCTAGCTCGGAGGTAGGCAATGATTTGCTGGCTTGGGCGGTGGGTGCCAGCTAAGCTCGCTGTTAGAGGCTGAGTGACTAAGTGACGGCTAAGGCAGCCCTTGCAGGCCTGGCAAAGGTCTCGCAGGATGTTTTGCAAACCGTTCTTATCAAACTTTTCATTTTGCAGAAACACTGTATTTCAAGGTTTTCTAAACCATGGAATGTGGGCTTGTGCGTGCATGAGCGCACCGCGGTTTTATACCCTCTTTTGGGAAAAATGCATGTAGAAAGCCAGCTGAAATTATGGTCGTTTTCTGGCTTGTGCCTAGTGAAGCCATTCAGCTCTGATTACGACCCCAGGACAGGTCACAGACTGACTGTGGTCTTTTATTTTGCCACTGCTGCTCCTGCTGCTCGTTCGGTAGAGAAAACCCACACAGCGGCCTTCTTCAAACCCGCGCTCTGAGCCAGCAATAACGCAGGAAAATGTTTTTTGCCCAAATCTAATTTGAAACATGATGACTGGACCAGTCTTAAACAGCTTCCAACTTAACAATAAAGAAACTTCACTGAGTGCTTGGCAGGAGCCTCCGTACATAATTCAGATCATAATCAGATGCATTAACACATTTTCTATGGATCTCCTGGGGGCCAAGAAGACTAGGTGTGCTGGGTAATTTCTTCCCAGATTTCTTTACCTGATCATTTATTACTCTTGGGGACCTCATTTGCGGTCCAAATGTCACCACCAGAATCCCGCTGCTTCGTGTGGCTGCATTTAGAGTAGCTAGCAGCACGGCTTCAAACAACCTAATTGGCGTTACCCTCGGCCTTTCCATCTGCGTGCGTCAAAGGGAGGACGGGGAGCGTGTGGGGAGGGAGGGAGGCGAGAGGAGCGAAAGCGGGGACCCGAATCTGCAAAGTGCTGAGCTTCCCCTGCGCCTGGGGCTCGGTGGGAGGGGAGGTGCGAAGCCTCCTCCCTGTTTCACGCTGGGCGCAGGCAGGAGCTCTGAGTCCCGCGAGCTGCACGGGGAAGCACTCCCGCCCCGCGCTTTCACTTTGGCTCTTAAACATGAGCAGCTCTAATTTTCTAAAGCTTCTGAAAGCTTTTCGGCACTGGGCAAAGAAACGATCGTGTATCATTCGCGTCGCTTCATTGTTTTGCTGGGAATCCGCCTGTGCCGAAAGCATCCGTGTTGTGAAATCTCGCCTTTGACAGCCAATTCTGTTGCCGCTTTGATAAATGACGTTTTGGATTTCTTTCTGCTCCGCTGGTTCGTATTATCCCCTCCAAAGGTGGAAAGCAAAGTTCCTTGTCACTTCAGTGTCTTTATGCATGCGCAAGTAATAATTCTTCCCATGTGTTTTATGGCTATTTGCTTGTTATTAAATGCTGTCAGTTAGTGTAACATGAGAATTTACCGTCCCTCCCCAGCCACGGTGCTGTCGAGGCCAGGCCTGCGTGAAACAGGAACCCTAGAGATTCGCCAGGCTGGTCCAAGATGCACAGCCCAGGTCGGATGTGGCTAAACCGGTTCAGCACAGCGAGAGTTAAGCAGTGCAGAAGTGGCTGGATAGTGCCAGCTGGACTCAGGGCCAGAGAACTGGCCTTGATGCCTCTAATTTACAAGCGTAGGTGTAGCCTTGGGGCTGAGCCAGCCAGCAAGCAGGAGGCAAATCCATGAAATGTAGGACCTCTCTTTCCCCTCGTCAGTAGTCTCGGAGACTTAGGCTTGGCTGTAAAGTACTGATGAAGAGAGGGCTGTAATTTATGGACTCTGCATCTCTAAGCCGTGGCAATGACACTTTGGCCACCCCTAGCTGGAAGGTGTTTTACCTGCATGCATGCAGTAGAGGAGTGTCATGCTTCAGGGTGGGAAGAGTGAATTATTCATGCCTGGTCCCTGAGTAGAGAGCGTGTTTGGTGCTGGGCAAAACATAGAGGCAGCCTCCATCCATTAAGAACCTTGTGGCCACAACAGGGTGCAGAAGTTCCTTGGGAGGCCAGAGAAGGAGCTTGCTGGAAGCACTGGTTTCTGTTTGCCTCTTATTTTTTTTAATAATCGATTATCAATATTGTTTCCCCCAGCAACGATGAAACTCAGCATCCCAGAGTAGCAGAGATCTTAAAACGACTTTTACAAGGAGAAAGCACAGCAGAAAGTGATTTTGATGAAGAAATTAGTGTTCTGAAAAACTGGAGGCGATTGGGTTGAGTTTGCATTTCATGTACAGAGCAAGTCCTGGTGTCTCACCCTGGTAAGACCAGTGTACTGTGCTGTAGAAACGTTGATTGAGGGGAAAGA